TGTGAATATCACTTGCTTTCATACAGAACATCATATTTTGCTATTGACCATTCTGAGTGAGCAGAGTGAAGGAAAGGATGGGTGAAGGGAAGGAAGTGGGGGGAAAGGAACAAATGTATAGGTGAGAAAGAAGCTTTCCAGCATCATCTCTCAGTGAGATGTGGAGACAGATTCCTGTATATTAATACTCTGGTGGTTCCCTGTTCTATCGATCCCCACTCCCCCAAAACTTAAACTTTGTTTTCTGTAGAGTACCAGGTTGTGCCTACTGGAGGGAATGGTAGTGTCACATGCTGTTTTGGTTCTTTGAGTTCTTTTTCTTTACCTGTTTTTAATCCCTGTGTCCTTAGTTGCTTAAGTTGCTGATTTGTTAATTGATAGTATAGTCACACTTTTTTTTTCCTGTATCATCTTAACGTTTACATATAAAACCTTGCCTCAGCTTTCTCCTTGCTTTCCAACCAACCTGTGACAGCAGACAAAATAACAGAACAGAATATATTTATTGGTGCAACGTCGTGGCCTAATGGTTAGAGAGTTGGACTCGTAACCCAAGGTTGCGGGTTCGAGTCTCGTACCGGCAGGGATTGTAGGTGGGGGGAGTGAATGTACAGCGCTCTCTTCCACCTTCAGTACCACAACTGAGGTGCCCTTGAGCAAGGGACCGAAACCCTAACTGCTCCCCGGGCGCCACAGCATAAATGGCTGCCCACTGCTCCGGGTGTGTGTTCACTACTGTGTGTGTGCACTTAGGATGGGTTAAACGCAGAGCACTAATTCCTAGTATGGGTAACCATACTTGGCCACATGTCACGTCACTTTCACTTTTCACTTTCAAAGCAGCCTTGGATGTGCTTGGCCGTGAAGTTTACAGGTACTGCACCCCCATGATCTTTGCCTTTATTATGATGTTTTGTTATTGCATGCAAACTATGTTGGGGGTAAGAAACACTATTTTTTTCCCACAGCTTCTCCAATGTAAACAAAAAATCCAGTAAGTCAAGCCATTCTAGATGTGACACAGATAACATAGGTGAAGGAAACTAAAGCAACTTTCCATTAAATGTGACAATGCAACATAATTAGTTACGTTTTTATAAAGATAAAATATTGTAACATGCACTACAAGAAATCTGGAAATATTCTGCCAAGACATTGGGTCTGATTTACTAATTTCGTGAATGATTTCATATTTGTATGCATCAGAATTTCTCATGAAAAAATTCAGCATAATTCACAACATGTGCGTATGCACATGAAACTGTTCTTAACCTCATTCAGTTGGAGTATTCTAAATGAGCGGCCACGTGCCCAAGTTCGAACGGAGATTTCACTTACAAATTAGTGCTTACACACAATTGAATGTGCGTACAGACGTGAATGAGACCCATTATCCATTAACCCATAATATTTCCTTTAACCCTTAAACATAACACAATGCAATTCGTAATTCAAAAGATATGTAAAATACCTGTAATTATTTCATATTAAAACTGTACCTTACAGACATTTCCCCAGAACTGTTCAGCAGAACTTTGCATTCAAGTGTATCTTTCTAAAGTCAAAAGGAGAGTTTGTCTATCAAATCACCCTCACATTCTATGGGGGGCAGGAAATGCAGCCTGATGCTATAGGGACACTTGTCTGGTAGGCCCCTAGCTCTCATGAACAGCTATATCTGCTAATGGTCTAAACAGATGAAAAGAGGATAAAAATGATTGAATAACATAGGCAGTGTATCAATCTTGTCCCTCCTTGGCAACAGAAACCGTACAGGTGGGAAAAGGAAAATAAACCATTAGACTATAATTACCAAAAACACACTCCTGATAAAACTTTTTAAAACGCAGCTGTTTGAGATAGAAAAATGAATCCAACATAGATCATGTTAGACCTTTAATGCAATATTAATGTCAATTAAATTCAAGTAACAAACAAATCAAAACTTTTATGGAAAAACAAAGAAAAATAAAATACTTAAAATATGTTGGTTGGACAAGCGCGCACACCACTCAGCAAGTATTTGTTTGAAACATCTTTTGCTTTTACAGCAGCCAGTATTTTTGAATAAGAGTCTATCAACTTCTTGATTCCTCCATTTTCCCTCCTCTCATTTTTCACTCATCCTTGCAAAAGAGTTCCAGATTGATCATTTTGCAGGTGGGTACACTCTAAAAAATGCTGGGTTAAATACAACCCAATGCTGGGTAAAATAGGGACAAACCCAGCAATTGGGTTGTTTTGACCCAGCGGTTGGGTTAAATGTTTAACCCAACCTTCTGGGTAGTAACCCAAC